CCCCAAACCCCAAAACCCCAAAACCCCAAAACCCCTTGAGAATGATAAGTCATGAAATCAAAAATTAAATAATGATAAAATCAATTTATGGATAAATCTTGTTTACTTCTATTATTTGGCATATTCCTCTGCTTTTAGTTTAATCCTAGGAGATTGGTTGATGCGGTTCCTTTGTTTTTTTAGATAAGCTAGATCACGAAACTTTCTTTACTATGGATAGGCAGCATATCATTATCATATCCACTTGTGTTATTTGAAAGCTTGCTTTATTTAGCAGCTAATAATCGTGATTTTGATTTCTTGGCTGAGTGAATCTCTCTTGGTATTCTTCTGCTTAATTAATTGTTAATTCCTCTGTTGATATGTCTAACTTCAGGAGAATTCAAGCTGAATTCATAAATTTAGGGATCTTGTTCTTTCCATAAAACCTGAATAGAGTGGTCCCTTGATTTAGGACTAGACGGTTTGAGTTTGACATTATTAAACATTACCATTGGATTTATCTAGAGATCGATCGGCTATTGGTCTGACTGTGATATTAGCTACTAATTGCTACTAGAGCTCTTAATATTCAAGATCTCTCCTGAACTAGCATTTCTTCTATCATTTTATGTGAAGCCAATTTTCTTCCTTAACTATTTTAAATGGTTTTAAGCACCATATGGATATGCTGTAGAGCTTGTATCAAAGTTAGAATTGAAGTTTGTTGAGAGCAGTCTTCCATGCTTGATACGTTTTTGCTTCATTTTTTTGAGATTTCTATAGTTTTCTTAAAGTCTATCATTCTAATCATAAGAATCATCTCTGTTATTTTCATCAACTTGAATACATTTATCTTGTTTTTCAATATATACCTTGCCAAGAATATTTGACATTATTTGTAGATTGTAGGGTATGACTTTGCAAAGCTATTGCTTATTGTTTACATTGAATTTCTTTTTATCTTTTTTAATCCTAGGTTTAAGATTAAATTCTTAATTTTCTTCTGTGATTGGTAATACTTTTTACGAATCTTTGTTTCCGTTGATAGAGTTTAGCATTACTAAGGCATCCTCTAATTAATGTGACATTGAATTAGACCTTTGGGAGTAATTAACTATGTTTCTATGTCCATAGTTGCTATTGTCCCCTAATTTAGCTGCTTTTTCCAATTAATTTATCCTTTATTCTTATAAATATTCTGATGCTGCCTGAGATCGTTCTGCTCTATTATTAATATCATTCCAAAGTCTCTTATAAACATTTTCATCCTACTCTTGATACTTAAAAGAGGATCTGCTTTTATCTGTGTTCATTTAATAATTTAGACTCCTCAAATAATCACTATACAAAACTTTGTACTTCCTCCCACTCTCTGAATCAAATACTATAAGATTCCCTTATTCGTCTACCTTTTGAGCAAGAAGTATATCGAGTTTATCATTTAGACCCTCAGAGTACAAATGTGCCATTCTTTTTGCTGATGCGATTCTTGAGGTTGCTTGACTTTTTGCTTTCTTATTTTATTGGTCATTGTTTTCTGATTTCAGATTAGAATCATCAAATTCTTCAAACTACCTGAGTTAGTTATTTGATGCACTATCTTAATATTCCTAAAATTCTCCAGCTTTACCGGATTTTGTTTTTTCAAGAAAATCATTTCGATTAAATCTCTTAGCAGTATTTTCATGAGATTGAATGTAGGAGATCTCATCATTAGTCTTAAGTTCTGATGTATTTTTAGCATTTGTTGAATTCAACTCATTTCTATTACTTAAGGGATTTGAAGTTACGAAAAATCCTGATCCACTATTATCTAGCTTTCCAAAATTGTTCAAAGATCTTTGAAGATAGTTTTATTAAGCTTCATTCTATACAATGAGCTCTACCTGAATGAACTAGTCGTTAACATCTTTTGTCTACTTAGGAGGATCAGACTAAATTCCTTTGTCTTGAATTTCTAATACTGTTTAAGTTTCTTTTAAGAATTTAGGTGTCTAAGCTTTATCTATAACAAATGCAAGAGGTTTTTGTATATTTGCTAATACAGTCAAGCAGGCTGCATCTCTATATTGCATTTTTTACATATCCTAAACATTTTTCAAAGCTAAAAAGTTTATATATTATTAAATGATATGGTACCTTCATTCCCAAGATCATTAAGTTACCTTGCAATATTATTCTAAAGTTATTTGTAAGCTGATTTCTAAGTAACTCTACTGGCTTATTTATCCCTAGAATATGGAGTCAATTAAAAAATATACCCTCTTTCTAGTTTTTATTTGAGTTATTCAATCTAATCTTCTAAGCTTTTAATCATATTATCACCATCTTATTTTGCCTATTTTATGCTTATATTCTCCATTGCAAGTTTTTCACTTTCTCTATTAAGTTCTGTTAAATCTTGCTATAAAGATTCAATTTGCTCTGTCATCAAATTACAATTTTACTCCAAAGTATCATTAGTATTCTTCATCAACTAAAAGCATTAATTCTTTATTTTTTACAGCAAATTCATATTTAAGAGTGGCAAGTTCATTTTAAACTCTAAATATCTCCTCTTTGTATCCATAATGTTCTTCTGCTAACTTCCTTATCTTCTGGCTTTTCATTTCTCTTTCAATTAACATTTTTTCTGTTCTCTCGGCCAGTTGTTATCTTGTTTCATCCCTTGATCCTTTTATCCTATGTAATTGAGAGAAGAATATCCACTTTGTGAAAAAAGCTTTTTACTTTATCTTAGCCTTAGTTTATTCAAAGTCCTCGCAAGTTTACTCTAACTCTCTCAATCTATCGTATAGTTCTTGCTTTTCATTATCATATCTATTAAAAAGATTAATCTCCTTTTATTTAAAGAGCTCCTCAAGTTCCTCCTCTGTTTCTTTTTTTGTTTTGGCAATTACTTAGGTAACCTCCCTATTAAGCTTACCAATTTCTTCATTTTTTGTTTACAGTTCTTTTCTTAAGTGCTAAATTTGAATTACATAATGATCTTTAAGTTCTTTAATCTTAAACTTAGATTATTCTTAGAACTCATTTATTGATTCTATCATTTATTCCTATAGCTTCTCATATGATTAAGGACTGATACCGTATTCATCCTCAATTAATTCTATGAAATAGTCATCACCATAAAATTGATGTAATACATTCCAAATAAGTTAAGGATCTTTTTAAATACGATAGAGTCGGGAAATAAGATGCTCTGCATTCATATCTTTAAATTTTATGCCATGTTTATTGATCATATCTAAAATTGCAACTTATTTGTAAAGAGCTTCATTTGAACTAGCAAGATCACTAAGTATTTTTTAGTAACCTTACTTCATCTCTTGGATCTTTAAATTCATAATTTCTTGGTATTATTTAGGTAATCCTTCTGTCAGATCAAAATATCTAACATCGATCTCTTTAAACTAGTCACCAAGCTTCTCCTTTTTATATAGTAGCTCTCTAAGATGGTTGATATCTTTCCAGCATGTTATTCTTAGATCATTAACTACATTTTTTTACTATTCAAGTTCAGTCTAAGCTTCAGTTACTAGTCTTGTTTTTTCTTTGATCATCTCTTTAAGTTGTTTCTTTGTCAAATTTTTGTCTTTCCTAAGTATAACTTATCTAGGTCCATCTAAACTCAGAATATCTATTCCTTAACTTGATAGTAAGCTCTTTCGACCCCCGTGATGTTCCTCACTTTCAAATCCAGATAGTGAACCATTATCTATTTCTTCTACCTTAAATCTTGTTATTAACTCCTTAATTTCAAAAGGAAACTTCTCGTATTAAAACCTAATCTCCTTCACATCAATCTTATTAAATAAATCGCTAACAAAGTTTATTGCGAAACTTTCTAAAATCTGAAGTATCTAGTAACTATGAGATTTCTAAATATCAATCGGGATTCCATTAGACTTTCCTGGCTTATGCTCTCAAGATTATACAATAAGACTTCTATGAAGTTTGATAAAAGATTCGTATATTTTTGAGTAGACTTTTTGAAAGTTTTAGTTAACATCATGAGGATAATAATCAAATTCACTTTGATGTAATGGCTAAGGTGGTTCCAGCAACTATACTATCCTTTGATGTTATGACTGATGCTAATGCTTTATTGGTTGCTATTGTTAGTTTGTTGAGTGAGATTGCTTTTAATTTTCCATTAATAATAATTATGATTATATATAAATAATTGGCTCTTTTCTTATTGAAAAAAGTTGTTAAACCCAAGTTAAATTAATCAAATAAATTAAAAAACATTTTAAAAAGGCTCATGAAAATTAATTTTAGGAAAGATAATTAATACTTATATCTATATATTGGCATATCATGTATCAATCATTTCATGTACTTTGAGTAACTCTCATTCATTGAGGTATCTCCATAATCACTACTAGTCTTGTCATAAGTTTTGAATGAGCTCTTAAGCTCACTCTCCATCTTTCTTATTGGATTCAGTTATAGCATATTATGAACCTGCTATTGCTCGAATGTTTTGAAAATTTGCTTATTTTCATTAAGAAGTGCAAAAATGTGATGCTTTACTATATCTCTGAATATACTTTAAGGTCCCAAAAATTCTTCAATTCCATCTTTGACCTTTGAAATTGTATTATACTAATTCAAATCAAGTGAATCAAGAAAACGCTATGAGATTACAAGACTTTCAATCGAGTTTATCTTGATGGCGCTGCTTCGCCTTGCTGTATTTTATTGTTATACTTCAGTATTCACTCTATTTATAAGGAACAGCAGTTCTTCTTATTCTGAATTCTACTCAAATACATAAACTTTAATTCTATCAGTCTCAGATAGAACAAACTCTTCTTGATGGAATATCTTCTATTTCTGTAATAATACCTAAGCAGGTCCCCTGAAATAATCTCTGTATACTTCTAGGTTTTACCTTAAAATTACCATCCTCTCTTGATCATGCTAATCTTACTAGTCTTACTTTTCTCTTTCTACCTTCTCAATTTCCTACTTTTTGCTATTTTCAATTTCCTAAATTCTTCTCTGATAAATATCAAAGTATTCTTTATTATTCTTAAACCACTTGAAGTGATATAGGAATTCATAATTCTTTAGAGTTATATCAATAGCATTTATTTTATTTTGGTCATTAACCTTGCTTCCTACTTATTAGCTACTGTTGTTAGCTTATTTAGAATTTGAGTTTTTCGTTCCTTGTTTTCTAATAATAGGGCTTGAAGTAAGACCTATCTAAGGAGATTATCTTTGCTGAGACTAAGACTTTTGGTTTCTAAATCTCAATTCATTTATTATCTATTCCTTATCATAGTTATATGATTTAAATCTTTGCAACTCATGGTCTATGTTATTGATATCTTTTATTTCAGTATCAATGAACTTTTGAAAGTCAAATTCAATTGTATTTGCTTCTTCCATATTTTCTTTTTTAATATACAAATTCTCATTATCTTGGTGGCTCACGCTCTCGTCCTCTCTTATCTAACTTGGGCTAGCTTCAATTTTAACCTCTCCGACGATTGGACTTACGTTTTAACTCTCAATTATATTAATTCTCACAGGGGATTCTACCATTTCTCTATAGTTCATCACTTACGATTCCTCTCTCTTTTTTTCTTCAAATGATAGTATTTTACTTTCTGAACTTTATGGAGCTGATTGAGAAGACGAAGATGAAGATTTCTTAGATTTTTCTTCTTGCACTGTAAATTTTCGTTTTAGCTTAATACCAGGAATCTACTTGTCCTTATCTTATGTCTGCTATTGTAATTTCTCGAAATCAATAGTTTAGTCAAATATATTCTAATGATTTCTAATTTTGTTTAACCATTTTTGATCAGGTATAATGTCTTTTTTCTTTTGATGAATGTTTAAAATCTCTGGCATATCGTTTAGATTATATCTAACACAGTAATCTTTCTCGATTTTACTCAATACTTCAAGATTACTTCTCCCTTTACGTTTAATCTTGAGATTTATTTCACTAGACTCTAATTCAACTGATGCATACACAAATTAAGAATTCTCTTGCTAATCAAAGTATTCCTTATCAATAAATCCCTCACAATATCTATATTTACAGCCTTTTAATTGGATTACTTTTTAGACAATAGAAGATTCGTATGATTCTCTTGCTTTTAAACTCAACTTGCTTTTGTTATTTACTGGATTATATTCGACCTTGAAAAATAGTCTTTCGATCTCTCTTCTTATTTAAATGTCTTACTTATTGTTTAAAGGTTTAATCTCTAGCTTATATTATCTTGAATCAATTGTGGTGGATACAAAACATTTGACAACTCCATTCAATAAGTTAGCTTGAACCATTGAACTTACACCTGAAATTTACAAAGAAACAAATTATTATTCTTCATAGTTATCATTTTGCACTACTTGCATTTTCTTAGCTTTGCTTGCCATAATCTGGCTGAATCCACCTCTTGAATTCAATTTAGTATTTGCCTTTACAAATATATCCATCCCACTTATTTCAGCCATACTACCTCTTTCTCTTTTTAGTAGACATAGTTCAGTTAAATGATCAAATATTATTGTTTTACTTTTATCATCGAGCCAGCTTTGATTCTTTTTCGAATCCTTAATGATCTCATTTTTAAACTTTGTCCTTACTAGTTCAACTCTTTTATGTATCTATAGGAGTGTAGATCTAATCCCACTATTTTCGCAGAAGTTTGAGTCATATGTTGCCAAATCTCTCATTAATTCGATTTTATCACTCTATGCTTAGGCAGTCTTAATCTTTAACTAATCAATTTTTTTTGTCTTTCTGTTCTAATCCTCAATCATATTCTTCATTTATAATTTAAGTTAAAAGTTTTCATTGCCAAACTCCTCAAGCATTTTTTTATAAGACACAGGTGGTTGATTTGAATTTTGCTTGCTATTGAGTAATGGAGATTTTTCTGTTGTATTTTAGTTTTTAGATGAAAGGTTATTTGAAGTGTCAATCACCAGCCTTTATTCTCGGGATCTCTCGTTTAAATTTAAATTTGGCAAATTCTTGATTTTGCTGCTATTCATTTTTATGCTACCTCTTGATTGATCCAGATCTATATTAGTGTAAGAATTTTCTTCAATAATTTTCATATGCTAAAGATTTCTACCAGATTGAAGTTCCTCCTAGTTTGTTCTACTACTAATTTTTTTCTTCATAGACATATTCAATTTTGATAATTTTGGTTAATGATCTTTTAACAATTTACTAGCTGCACTGGTATTATTTATTTCATGATACATTTTAACCTTATTTGATCTATTTGATAAGCTTGAATTTATGCTTCTCTCTTTTGATTTGTCTCTGAACTACATTGGTGATTTTCTAGTCTTTTTTTCGCTGTTCATTCAAGATTAATTTTATGATTGTCCTCTTGAAAAAAATTATCGGTTTGTCTTTGTAGTTAGATTAACTTGAGGTGTTTAAGAATCATAAATCTAAAAGGGAACTTTAAATTCATTTTATGATGCTAAATTTAAGCTAGGTGTTTTTGTTTTAAATCGCTTTTACTAAGATGATGATCTTATTCTTACATCTTTAGTCTGACTCTGATCTAATCTATTAGACTTTTATTCTTTCGAGAAAAAGTTATTTCCTTGATTAAGAGATATGTTTAACGATCTATCATAAATACTTTCTGCTCTAGAAGAGTACATTTTGCGGAGTTTCTTTTTAGAAAAAGAAGATTCATTCTTAGCCGATGGTAAATTGTTCAATTGCCTTGTATTTGAGTATTATTATATCATGTTTTGCTGCTCATGATTCATCCTGACTATTCTCTTAAGTGCTGATATTTCTTGTGAGTTCAAATTAACACTTTAACTTTAATTTGACAGTCTCGGATGTAAAAGCCTAGACTTAAGGCTGTTAAAGGAACTATTTGCATTTCCAATTCGATCATTTTGCAGCACGTACATCTCATTAAGCATATTTTGATGTCATAAGTGTTCTTCATATTATGAATTGTTCGGATTATTTTTTCCACTTATCATGGGTAGATAGAGAGAATTTTCATCAGATTAAGAGATATACTGGCTCTATTGCTGGCTACTGAAATTAGATTTTTTAAAATCTGTCCCTAACTTCATATTTTTAATTGTGGAATAATTTAAAGTAACTTCTGTTCGATTCCAATTATCAAATTTGTTATCATGGGGTTTTGGGGTTTTGGGG